GAAACAACAAAAAATTAAAAAGGAAGAGATGAAGTTAAATTGTAGAGTTTTTATTCATTTTCTTTTTGCTTGTTTGCTTCTTTGTTTATACAATCAGTGTTAATTTGTTATCAGTTTGTAATTATGAGTTATAATATAGTATTTTCAATCCTCCTGGTAACCTCATATAAAAAAAACACACAATGGATACACCAAAAATAAAAAGCAAGAAATTAAATCATACCACAGATAAAATCACCTTCACTAAAAGGGAGACAGGAAGGAAGGAAAGAAGGAAGAGAAGATCACAAAACAATCAGAAAACAAATAACAAAATAGCAGGAATAAGTCCTTATTGATCATTATTAATAACATTGAATCCATATGGACTAAACTCTCCAATCAAAAGACACAGAGAGGATGAGTGAATAAAAAATGCAAGACCTGATGATCTATTGCCTAGAAGAAACACGGCACCTGTAAAGGTACACATAGACTCCAAATAAAGGACTAGAAAAAGACATTCCATGCCAGTGAAAACCAAAAACAGTAGGAGTAGCTACATTTATATCAGACAAAATAGATTACAAGACAAAAACTGCAAGAAGCGACAAAAAGGTCATTATATAATAATAAAGGGGTAAATTCAGCAAGAGGATATAACAATTGTAAATATATATGCATCCAACACTGGAGTACCCAGATACATAAAAGCAAGTGTTATTTGCTTTACTAGAGCTAAAGAGAGAGGTATTTTATTATACATTACAATTATATATTATATATATTTATTACATAATATATGATATATATTATTAGAACTAAAGAGAGAGAAATATACCTCAACACAATAATAGCAGGAGACTTCAACATTCCACTTTCAGCATTAGGTCTTCCAGACAGAAAAATCAACAAGGAAACATCAGACCTAATCTGCACTATAGACCAAATGGACCTAATAGATATTTATAGACTATTTCATCCAATGGCTGCAGAATATATATTCTCCTCAGCACAGCATCATTCTCAAGGATAGACCATATGTTAGGTTACAGAAGAAGTCTTAAAACATTCCAAAAAATTAAAATTATATCAAGTATCTTCTCTGACCGCTATGGAATAAAATCAGAAATTAATAACAAGGGGAATTTTGGAAACTATACAAACACATGGAAATTAAACAACAGGTTCCTGAATGACCAGTGAGTCACTAAAGGAATTAAGAAGGAAATTGGAAAAATTTCTTGAAACAAATAATAATGGAAACAAAACACACCAAAACCTATGGGATACAGCAAAAGCAGTACTAAGATGGAAATTTATAGCTATAAGTGCCTATAGATATAAAAAAAGAAAAACTTCAAATAAATAACCTAATGATGCATCTTAAAGAACTAGGAAAGAGCAAATTAAACTCTAGATTAATAGAAGAAAAGCAGAAAGAGTAGAAATAAATGAATTTGAAATGAAGAAAACAACACAAAAGATCAATGAAACAAAAAGTTGGTTTTCTGAAAAGATACAATTAACAAACCTTAGACTAACAGAAAAAAAGAGAGAAGATCCAAATAAATAAAATCAGAGATGAAACAGCAGACATTACAACTGATACTGCAGAAATTCAAAGGATTGTTAGAGACTATTATGAGCAACGATATGCCAACAAGTTGGAAAACCTAGAAGAAATGGATAAAATCCTAGACACACACAACTTACCCAGATCAAACCACAAAGAAATCTAAAACCTGAACAGACCAATGACAAGTGACAAGATTGAAGCTATAATAAAAAGTCTCCCAGTAAAGAAAAGCCCAGGATCTGATGGCTTTACTGCTGAATTCTACCAAGCATTTAAAGAAGGAGTAATACAATTCCTACTCAAACTATTCTGAAAAACAAAGGGAAGAATATTTCCAAACTCATTCTATGATGCCAGTATTACCCTGATATCCAAACCAAAGACATATCAAAAAAAGAAAACTACAGGCCAGTATTTCTGATAAACACTGATGTAAAACTCCTCAACAAAATATTAGCAATCAAATTTGACAATACATTAAAAAGATCATTCATCATGACCAAGTGGGATTTATCCCATGAATGCAAGGATGGTACAACATATGCAAATAATTAGTGTGATACGTGGTATCAACAGAATGAAGAATAAAAACTATAATCATTTGAGGCGGGTCGATCACCTGAGGTCAAGAGTTCGAGACCAGCCTGGCTAACATGGTGAAACCCTATCTCTACTAAAAATACAAAATTAGCGGGCATGCTGGTGAGTGCCTGTAATCCCAGCTACTCAGGAGGCTGAGGCAGGAGAATCACTTGAACCCAGGAGGTAGGGGTTACAGTGAGCCGAGATCACGCCACTGCACTACAGCCTCGGTGACAGAGACTCGGTCTAAAAAACAAAACAAAACAAAAACAACAACAAAAACTGTATTCATTTCAACTGATGCTGAAAAAAATTTGATAAAATTCAACACCCCTTTATGATAAAACTCTTAAAAAACTGGGTATATAAGAAACATACCTCAATATAATAAAGGCCATATATACAACAGAGCCACAGCTAGTATCATACTGAATGGGGGAAAAACTGAAAGCACTTCCTCTGAGATCTGGAAAATGAAGATGCCCACTTTCACCACTGTTACTCAACACAGGACTGGAAGTTCTAGCTAAAGCAATCAGCAAGAGAAAGAAATAACAGGCATACAAATTGGAAAGGGAGAAGTCAAATTATCCTTGTTTTTAGATGATGGGATCTTATATTTGGAAAAACATAACAACTCCACACATAAAAAAAACTATTAGAACTGATAAACAAATTCAGTAAAGTTGCAGGATACAAAATTGACATACAAAAATCAGTAGCATTTCTATATGCCAGTGAACAATCTGAGAAAGAAATTTAAAAAGTAATCCTATTCACAACAGCCACAAATAAGATTAAATACCTAGGAATTAACTAAAGAAGCAAAATATCTCTACATCGAAAATTATAAAATACTGATGCAAGAAACTGAAGAGGACATAAAAAATGAAAAGATATTTCATGTTCATAGTTGGAAGAATCAATATTCTTCTCAATACTACCCAAAGCAATCTAGAGATTCAATGCAATCTCTATCAAATCTCTATCAAAATACCAATGACATTCTTCACAGAAATAGAAAGAACAATCCTGAAATTTATATGGAATCACAAAAGATCCAGAATAGCCAAAGCTAGCCTGAGGAAAAAGTACACACAACTGGAGGAATCACATTACCTGACTTTAAATTATACTACAGAGCTATAGTAATTAAAGGAAGATGGTATTGGCATAAAAACAGACACATAGACCAATGAAACAGAATAGAGAAATCCATACACCTACAATGAACTCATTTTCAAGAAAGGTGCCAAGAACATACATTGGAGAAAACACAGTCTCTTCAATGGTTCTAGGAAAACTGGATATCCACATAGAGAAGAATGAAACTTGACTTCTATCTCTCGCTGACTTCTATCTCTGCTATATACAAAAATCAAAACAAGGTGAATTAAAGACTTAAATCTAAGACTTCAAACTATAAAACTAGAAAAAGAAAACACGGGGGAAACTCTCCAGGACATTGGTCTGGGCAAAAATTTCTTCAGTGATACTCCACAAGCCCAGGCAACGAAAGCAAAAATGGACAAACGGGATCACATCAAGTTAAAAAGCTTCGGCATAGCAAAGGAAACAGTCAGTCAAGTGAAGAGACAACCCACAGAATGGGAGAAAATCTTTGCAAACTATCCATCTCACAAGAGATTAATAACTAGAATATATAAGGAGCTCAAACAACTCTATAGGAAAAATCTAATCTGATAAAAAATGGGCAAAACATTGGAACAGACATTTCTCATGAAGAAGACATAGAAGACAAAGAAACAGGTATATGAATAGGTGCTCAGGTCATTGATCATCAGAGAAATACAAATCAAAAGTACAATGAGATATCATCTTGCCCTAGTTAAAAATGACTTTTATCCAAAAAGACAGGCAATAACAAATGCTGGAGAGGGTGTGGTGAAAAGGGAACCCTCAAACACTGTTGTTGGGAATGTAAATTTGTACAACCACTATGGAAAACAAGTTGGAGGATTCTCAAAACACTAAAAATAGAGATACCATACAATCTAGCAATCCCACTGCTTAGTATATACCCACAAGAAAGGAAATCAGTATATTGAAGAGATATCTGCACTCCCATGATTGTTACAGCACTTTTCACAATAGCGAAGATTTAGAAGCCACCTAAATGTCCATCAATAGATAATTAGATAAAGAAAATATGGTACATATACACAATGGAGTACTATTCAGCCATAAAAAGAATGAGATCTTGTCATTTGCAATGACACAGATGGAAATGAAGATCATTATGTTAAGTGAAATAAGTCAGGCAAAGAAACACAAACTTTGCATGCTCCCATTTCTTTGCAGATACTAAAATTAAAACAACTGAACTAATGGAGATAGAGAGTAGAAGGATGATTACCAGAGGCTGGGAAAGGTAGTTGGGGTTGGTGGGGGGTGAGAGGGAAGTGGAGATGGTTAAGGAGTATAAAAAATATATAGTTAGAAAGAATGAGTAAGACCTAGTTTTTGATAACACAATAGGGTGACTACAGTCAGCAATAACTTAATTGTACATTTTATAACTAAAAGAGTATAAATGGGTTGTTTTTAACACAAAAGATAAATGCTTGAGGAGATGTATACCCCATTTTCTATGATGTGGTTATTACTTATTGCATGCCTGTATCAAAGTATAATATCTCATGTATCCCATAAATACATATACCTACTGTGTACCCATACAACTTTTTTTTTTTTAATTAGAGGATAAGCTATTTTAATACTGGAATCTCTCTCTTTAGTTATATAATTTAATTCTTTCTCTCTATGTATATAAAATCTCTTCACTATAATTTTTGTTATAGCATCACTACTCTTCAAACAATTATGAAAAATTTGTTACCTGGTGCAATTTTCCCATCCTGAGCTGCAGGACCATCTTTCAGCACATTTTTCACTTGTAGGAACTCATCAGGTCTATCTCCGCCAATAATGGTAAAACCAAATCCCATTGTGCTTTTTTTCAGTGATGCTCGAACAAGGACACCTTTAAGTTGGGATGGATCTCTTGTGAAGTGTGATTTTTCCATATCTGTGCCAAAATGAGAAGTGGGTTTGAGAACAAAAATAATTACAATGAATATAGCACTCAGTCAATCTTTTTTTATATAACTTAATGTTATTCTCAACTTTATCTCTTTCTCATTGCCTTGTCTGCACTTACTTTCAACCCAGAGTCCATTATATAAAGTTAAAATGACACAACCTTTAGTACTCAATTGCTGAAAGTTTGGATATTCAACTGTACTATAAAACTCAGCATCTACTGAGTTTTATGTGCAAAGTACGATACCAGGAGGATGAGGCCAAGTGTCACAAACTTGTGAAAGGGAGTATATTGAGAATTTTTATAATTCACAGTTCAGGCTTTCTGCAGTCTTTAATTTATAACTGATGGAAGGAGTGAATCTTTTTACTACCAGTAAATAGCTTCATATTTCTATCCCTTTCACTCGTGTTTAGTAGATAATTTAGGAAGAAAAACACATCTTCTTTTGAAATGCCCATTTTTAGGGGTTAGATGACCCTAGTGATTCACATCTGCAAATAACAACCTCCTTCCAGAACTTCTTCTCTCTTCTCCTCAACCATGCGTGCCATTAGGGAAGTGACAAAAACTGAGAGAATCAAACTGTACAGGTTTATAATTTACTAAGTATTAAATTAACTGTAAAAAAAAAAGATTTTAAATGTTCTGCCATTATCTATTTTTTAACAAATTTATTAAGATATCATTCACATACCATAGAATTCAGCTCTTTCAAGTATACAATTCAGTGTCATCCAACTATCAGCATAATCTAATTGTAGAACATTTTCTTCCCTCCTCAAAGGAAATCCCCATGCCCATTAGCAGTCATTATCCAATTTCTCCCCAACCCACGTCCATATTCCAGCCTTAGGAAGCCACGAATCTACTATCCATGTATAGACGTGCCCAATACAGGCATTTCATATAAACAGAATCAGATGATATGTGGTGTTTTGAATGGTTTCTTTCAATTGAGAGTGTTTTTGAGGTTCATCTGTATTGTAGCATATGTCAGTACTTTATTGCTCTTTATTATTAATATATAATAAATATTAAATTAAATATGTATTTACTAAAGATAAATTTATTATATTATTGCCAAATAATATACCACTGTATGGATAAATATCACATTTTGTTTATCCATTCATTAGGTGATGGACATCGGGTTATTTCCACTTTTTGGCTATTATGAATAATGTTGATATGAATACTCACAAGTTTTTGTGTGGACATATTTTCATTCATCTTGGGTATATACTGTGAGTGGAATTCCAGCAGTTACTATGAATATATCGTAATTATGTTTATCATTTTGATAAACTTCCAAACTTTTCCAAAGCAGCCTTGCCATTTTACATTTCCACAAGCAACATAGGAGGGCCTCAATTTCTCCACATACTTGCCAACAGTTGTCCTGTCTGTCCTTTTGGTTGTACCCATTCTAGCGGACATGGAGTGGTTTCTCACTGTGGTTTTGTTGTGCATTTCCCTGTTAACTTGAATTAATAATGGTAGCTTGTTTCACACTTAGCACTAGTATCACGCCCAGAGTTACTTATGTGTATTTGCTGCTGCCTCTCTTAGCAGAGTGTTCTGATATATTAAAACTTATCAGAAAAAAGAACGATTCTTGGTGCTGTTCTGTATGGTTTGCAGATTATGCAGTATGTAAACAGCTTTCTCAAGAGGTAGGCCTGCCCTGGCAATAGTGACAGTGGCAGGTTCGGGGTGGAAAGTAGGAGCTACCTTATTTAATATGTTATTCCCAGATTTGTTTTTATTTGCAAAAAGCACATGATACAAACAAACGAAAAATCCAGCTCTTTTGGGCTTCTCAAAGTAGAGAAGTAGACTCCAGACAGCAGTGCATTGATCATAGTAAATGCCATTTTGTGAGGCCTCTCAGAGGATGGCCAGTCAGCCTACTTATGGTGACACCTCTGTATTATTGAGCTTCTCACATTCAAAGTAGCAACTTTGAATTTTGTTCAGTCTCTGAACAAAATATTACTTTAAAAAATTATTTAATTGACATATGCAATACCCATTCAATTACAGAAGTTGACTAACACCGTCCACTAGTGTTGCCTACCAGACTGTAGATAAGAATATTTCTCTAATGACTGAGTACTTGGACAGGTACTTGATGATAATATGAAATGTACCGTTTTCATTTTTATGTCAAATACTGAGATGTTTCTGGTTAGCTATCCCATGCCCTAATCCCCAGGAATACTAGAATAAGATTGGCTTCTGAGGGCAAAACTTGAAAACTAGCATACAATAAATGACATCCAGGTTGTACAAACAATAAAGAGGAAGGAAAAATAACACCTAATTTTAGAAAGTATTAATAAAACAGCCAAAGCCAACTGAAAGTTGGTCAGAAGTAAGTCTTATCAAAATTAAGCTTAGAAAAGTGAAAATCATAAAGGCACAAAGAAACTGTCTTTGAGATCAACCGTCTCAACTTTAAATCCAAGATTTGTAATTTAGTTGAGTGATCCTGGGTATGTTGTTTAAAACTTGTAATCCTCAGCTGTCTTGTCTCTAAAATGGGGCTAGTCGTACCTAAAATTCATGGGATTGTCACAGAGATTAAACTATGTGACACACAGAAAGCAGAGGAAGCGGTGCTTGACAAATGGTAACTGCACAATCAATGTAGATGAGCACAAACTCTTATATACTGTCCAAGGAAGGAGGTTCCATGGCTCACAAACTTGAGTGCTTCTGACTCTGTGGAAAGGATAACCTTGGGATAGATGAATCAGACAATTTTAACTTAATGCCATCAAAGCCTCTAAATGGGGATAATAATATCAATAACTTGCAGAGCTATTTTGAGACTTAAATGATATGATTATACAAAGTATCCAAATCTATATGTGATTCAGTATCTCAACAAATGGCAGCTGTTATTCCTTAAGGACTAGCATAACTTCAGTAACATCAAGGAAGTCTTTCTTGTCCTTCTACATTCAGATTTAATTTCTCCCTTTTGTCTACCACTATTGTTTATATCTTCCTTATCATACTATACTAAAATTATATGTGTATTTCCCTGACTAAGTTGGGAGCTCCTGAAAGACAGGTGTTGAATATTTCTGTTTGTTTGTTTTCCTTTTCTTTTTTTTTTTGAGACAGGGTCTCATTCTGTCACCCAGGCTGGAGTGTAGTGGTGTGATCACTGCTCACTGCAGACTTGACCTCCTGGGCTAAGGTGATCCTCCCACCTTAGCCTCCTGAGTAGCTGGTACTACAGGTGTGTGCCACCACACCAGGCCAGATTTTTGTATTTTTTGTAGAGATGGAGTTTTGCCATGTTGCCCAGGCTGGTCTCAAACTCTTGGGCTCAAGCAATCCATTTGCCTTGGCTTCCCAAAGTGCTGGGATTACAGGTGTGAAATACTATACCTGGCCAGGTGTTGAGTGTTTACTCTTCTTTTAATCCCTACCTTATAGGAGAGAGCCTGGGTATCTAAATCAATAAAACATATGGTACCTGACTTCAGGGAAATTAGAGTTTATAAAGGGAGGAAAGATCTCCCTTGAAATGTGCCATGAATTCAGGGACTATATATTATAATACAAAGAACTTTGAATTTAAAGTCAGTAAAACTAAGTTCAAATTCTGGCTTGACACTCACTGTTATTCTAAGCAAGAGGCTTAATCTTTATTAAAGTCTCCATTTCCTTATGTATAAATTAGGGATTCAAGTTGCTCTTCAGTTCATGTCTTCTGTCTATAATCTTTCATGGTCAAAGCTATGAAAATAGTTGGTTATACTCATTGTGTCTCCACGTCTTCACCTCCCATACCTTCTTCATTCTACTGCAATTTTATTTCACTCTCTACTTGCTCTTGCTAGAGTGACTAATGACCTCCCTACTGTCAAATCCAACATATATTTTTCAATCTTCAACTTCCTTGACATTCCAGCAACATGTGACATACTCAACCTCTTCTCATGGCTGCCTATCCCTATAAACTCATCGCTTGTTACTACCCTACAAATACCCTATGCTGTAACCACGCCTACTTGCCTTCTGGCCTTTCAGCACACCATTTCACACTTCTATGATTTTAAACATTCTGTTCCTTCTACTTGGTATGCTTTCTTACTCCTTTAAAATTTTTGTCTGCCTGCTTTAACTTTTCCTGACTTTTTAAGACCTAGTTCATATCTCTTCTGCTTTGAAATTTCTCCTGCCCCCTTGACAATCTCCACCAAAGCAGAGTTGGGTACTCCCTTCGTTATGCCACCACTGTACCTTGTACATCTCTATTAATAACAATGAAACTATTATAATTTATTAGCCAACGCACGCTTAATACCATTGCAGGCACTTTACATCTGTTATTTTACATACTCATAACCACCTTAAGAGGTGGGTACCATTATTATTCCTATTTTATATATGAGGAAATAGGGGCATTTAGAGATTCAGGAAATGTACCCAAGTTTACACAGCTGGGATTCAAACCTGCTCCTCAGCTTACCCTTATAATTACTATTCTAGGATGGCACCTATCTCTATATATTATAACCATCAGTTTCCTATATTAGACTGTGAACTCTTGAGGGCAAGCCCTGTCTTACTCTTAGTCATTTTTGAATACCTAGTGCCTAGCAAAGCACTGGGGATACAGTCAGTGCTCAAAAGTATTTGTTAAACTCAAAATGTTTGCTAAACGAAATGCAAAACTTTAGGAGAAGGATGATGTTTTTGAAGAGTAACTATAAGAAAGAACTATTTCTCTCATGGGCAACTGAAGTGGAGAATCTAGTGGATTACTACAATATGACCATATATACCCTGGTTATTAATGACAAATGAGGACTGGAAAAGGGATGGGGAGGGATAAGTAGAATGTAAGAACTTCCTGAGCAGTGTTTTCAAAATACACATGACTAGGCTCATTGAAATTTCCGGATCTGTATTTTTAAAAAATGCTCCCTAAGTGAGTCTGATGTTACTAATACCTACCATCCCACTTGAGACTCGATGATGTAGGTAAATCATTTGATACATTTATTATTTATTAATATTGGTTAATGAAGAATCCTCAATGGTTACAGATACCATACTTAAGCAATTAACTTGGGAAAAGCTAATGATGAACTAGAGACCTAATATTGGTCTCGCCTTAAACATATAAGGAAACATTCCAATCTTCAAAACAAAATCTCAAATTCACAAAAAAGGTACCCAAATCCCTTCTCCCAACAACTTCATGCTTTTTATATACTCCTGAGAAAAATCTCACTATTCTCATAATGTTCAGATGTTTTATTAAGATTATTCATATCTTTACAATAACAAATATTAGACATTCTTGTCTAGTGTCAAAGCCATAGAAATAAAAAGTTCAAACTCACTTTTATTAACTCAGCATACAAATTTCACAAGTTATTCTTTCAAGAAAAGATTGAGAAGAATGCCTACCTGGTTTTGAAGACCCAATTTCAGCCTGTCCTAACTGCTTTTTCCTTTTCGCTTCCTCCACTGGATTTTCAAACTGGGTTTTCTGGTTAAGGTGACTATAGAATGCAGAAAAATATACATTTCAGTTTAAAATAAAACAGTAACATATTCTTAAATAGTCTATCATACCATTCCATCCTCATAGATTAGGGGACAAATATGTATCTTTAGGCTATGGAACATAGAGAGACTGACAGATGATAGCAGTGGGGCTTTCTGTCAGCTAAATAAAGTCCTGTAGAAGATGCCAAGCTGTGAAGCTTTTGATATTATATTTACTATAGCTTCTTCATAAACCTACCCAATATAGCCAATAACGGTTTTCAAAACTATGGCCTTCTTATCTGATGCAATCACAAGTACTTGTTCTTGGTAATTTAATTTTTTTTAAAAGGCAGTTAATGATAGAAGGGTTTTAATTTAAGTTTCTCCAAAATAAAGCAAGCTGTAAAGACACTTTCAAAGAAATCTGTGTACAGAATCCTTTTTAAATTATATTACTATTACTTTTCCACTGACTCACCTATATCTGTTCAGTAGTAACTAAGAAAATGACTTGCTCTTATCAATTATAGTACAGAGTAACTCTTTCACACTTAAATTTCTTCATAATTATATCATAATTAAATGAATAATTATAACATAGGTTCAACTGACATTTATGATTTGGGAACATTCACTACTGACTCTTGGAATGCATACAACTCTGTGAGAGAAAGCAGGAAACCTGAGGAGACTAGCCGCTAGGAGATTAGCCAAAACTATTCAACATGCTATGGGCAATAGTATGTTTTACAGAAGAAAAAGATCACTGTTCTTCTGGCAAGCCAGGTAAGTGGAAGTTGGTTAAGAAAGCAACTGCTGTAAAAAAGATGTTAAGGACCTCGAATAGGTCTAATTCAGAAGCAATGGAAATCATATTCTAACACTTCCATAGTACAAATATATTTCAGCATATGCTACAGTTTTCCACTTTAATAAGAAGTGAGGTCGGGTGCAGTGGCTCACGCCTATAATCTCAGCATTTTAGGAGGCCAAGGCAGGCAGATCACCAAGTCAAGAGATAGAGACCATCCTGACCAACACGGTGAAACCCCGCCTCTACTAAAATACAAAAATAAGCTGGGCGTGGTAGTGCATGACTGTAATCCCAGCTACTTGGGAGGCTGAGGTAGGAGGCTCACTTGAACCCGAGAGGCAGAGGTTGCAGTGAGCCGAGATCGTGCCATTGCACTCTAGCTCAGGCGACAAGAGTGAAACTCCGTCACAGATAAATAAATAAATAAATAAAAAGTGGTAACACGAGTGAACACCAACAATTAAATACCAAATCATGAGAATTTCAGAACATAATTGTCTTTAGGTAGGCTGAATATTACAAAATGTACATATAAATAGTCACACAAGTTGAACATTTATTTTGCCTTTTTATTTATTTTACTTTTTTTCGAGACTGGCTCTCATTCTGTCACCCAGGCTGGAATGCAGTGGTCTGATCACAGCTCACTGCAGCCTCAACCTCTTAGGCTCAAGCGATATTCCCACCTCAGTCTCCTGAGTAGCTGTGACCACAGGTGTGTGCCACAAGGCCCAGTAAATTAAAAAAAAATTTTTTTCTTTTAGAGATGGGGTCTTACTATGTTGTCCACACTGGAGCTTTGCCATTTCCAAACATTAAGAGTGGTGGTAGAGAAACGGGCAGCAGGGACTAAAATTAAAATTTTAAAAACCACCTTCAAAAAAAGGAAAGTTAGCTTTCTCCATGTCACTTAGGCTACTAGTGCATATTAGTTCCACAACACATGTGGTTACTTATTAAATAGTTTAAGAGATCTAAATATGGTAAGTGCCACTGGACATTCTTTGGGTTCTGATTTCACTAACACTCAAGTATGCTTTTGCTTCATAATATGAGGGGGACAACCTGTCCATTGAGTTAACTGTTTAACTCTGTGAAAATAAAAATCTTAGGAACTACTTTAAAAAATTTATTTAAGAACTGATATTTTACATATTCTTTTGAAAAACAACTAAAAATTGACACTCAGAAAAGAATAAACCTGTTCAGAAAGAAGCTTGGCTCACTTTCACTTTAATATCATTGGCTAGAATGACTCACTTTGCCACCCAGGCATTAGAACATAAAAAGTAGTAATTTGTATTTATACCCTTTGTAATGTGTGGGAGAGGAGAGTAGAAGTATGCAAATGAGTAATCCTTTTCCTAAAAATTTGACAACAGAATATAAGATTTACTGAAGGAAGTTATTATCTTCATTATCTTAGACTATCTAGACTAAAATGCCACTCAAAAAAAAAATCAAAAAATAAAGAAGTGAGAATACTGTCCTTTTCATTTAGTTACTTATACCTACACTATTATTAAGATACAACAAATTTTGTTTTCCATATAACCAGCTATGGGAAATAAGAGAGGAAAATATTATAGATTATCAGAAAGAAAAAAAGATAGCAAACAAGAATGATCAAATATTAGTACATAATGTGGCACATTATCTGTATTAAAATTTTATGTCTAATATCTGGATTTAAAAATTTATCTCAACGAAATATTCTTTCATAAAGAATTTTAGATGGCTGGGCATGGCGGCTCACACCTGTGATCCCAGCACTTTGGGAGGCCAAGGCCAGCACTTTGGGAGGCTGACGCGGATGGATCACTTGAGGTCAGGAGCTTAAGACCGGCCTGGCCAACATGGGGAAAACCCATCTCTACTAAAAATACAAAATTAGCTGGGTGTGGTGGCACATGCCTATAATCTCAGCTACTCAGGGGCTGAGGTACGAGAATCACTTCAACCTGGGAGGTGGTGGTTGCAGTGAGCCAAGATCGTGCTGCTGCGCTCTAGCCTGGGCGACAAGCATAAAGCTCTGTCTCAAAAAAAAAAAAAGTTTTAGTTGTGAAAGCAAGTATATATTTTGACTTTGTCACCTAGATGCATCAAGACATTTAATGTTCATTACCCTGATCTAATCACTATATATTATGTGTACTGAAACATCACTATGCACCCCCAAAATGTGTATAATTATTATATGTTAATTTAAAAAAGACATGTAATGCAATACAATCAAGACCGCATTTCTAAATATATATGCATATTTATATTTATGCATATTACAAGCATATTATATTTTTGGAACAATTTTATTTTAAAAAATAAATTCATCCATTTCAGAATCCCATCCTCTAAAATAAATACAAAGAAAAACTACCATTGCAGTTGGTGTTACTACTATAAGGCTCCTGCCAAGAGCAATCATCGTGCCATCTGGTTTGACAAACTAAGAGAGCCAAAGAGTAGCCATTCAAGTAACAGCTTTTTATCTCCATCAGTAAACTCACTGCAGATTACCATGGTCGAGATTCAAAACCTAACTAATCTGGGAATCAAGCCACACTCCACAGCTCAGCTGACTCCATACTAATGTGCATCTTGAGTACAGTCTGCTCCTTCTTAATCTAATACAAAACCCTCCTGTAAAATGAGCTCATTCTGGGAACAATCATACAAAATCATGTCGCTGCTGCTGTTGCTTCTAATTCAGGCTATTTCATGTACCTCCCTGACAACTAGGAGCAGGTCGCTTCAGGATTTGCCCTAAAGTTGCTTTAATATTATATCTTTGCATAATGGGCACCAGATCATTCAGCTCAAGGTTTTGTAACAGGCAAATGACTTTCACCTTTTGACCATGTATTCAAATTCACTTGGAATGGGTAATAAAGAGAATGAGAATCATTATCTCAGAAATGTTCAGCAGTGTCAATGGCAAATAATAGCTGATTAGAGCCCAATTTAAAGAGACTAAACTTTGAGGGGAAGAAAAAAATCCTGCAAAACCTTTTCAGTTGGCCCCCAAATATTCCTTTAATGTGAAAAATGGTCGTTTCTTCCTTTAACAAAATATGACTTAGGAAAAAAATAATAAAAGAGCTGCTGTATACTTTTTATATCACAGTATCAGTAAGATATTAAGTAACACAATGGAAATGGAAACAAAATTAGCATAGCTTTCAAAGGAACCAAGATATTGAAATTCTGAAGTTATATACTTAAGTGTCAAGCTAATTGAGTCATTTCCTTAGGAGACACCTTTAATTATAAGAAGTCATTCCAAAAATCCCTCTAACCACAGTGACTCAAGTAACAACCTGCACAACAGAATAAAGACTAAAGTTGCAACAGGAGTCAGAGATGCTTACTTTAGGGATAATTACCAGGAAATGTCATTGGTTTATGCCTGTAAGTGTTGAAACATTAAGCAACAATCATAAAATTAAAGATGCTTGTGTTTGTTACTTTTTCAGGTAATAATAACATTTTGTCTTTGCTACCTAGGCGGCAGGTTTAACTCCTAGTCTCCAGGTAAATAGTAATGTTTCTGATACAATTATTTGCCTGCTGCTAGACGCTTGAGGTCAAATTCAATGTTTAGCATCTGGAAAGAAAGCAATCCCAATGGTCATAACAATGTAGCAATTAGATAAAGAAAAGAGAAGGCAAAATTAGACATTGACATTAGCTTAATTTCTCTGGCTAACATAGGCAGGGGTCTGGCACTCCTCTCCAATATATATTTATGTTTAAAATTAACTGTAACACCAGCCTAAGAAGCAACTTTCACCCCTAAAAAGAATACTAAGTTTTCCTGGAATAACTCCTTAAAAAGAGAGTACACCTTTAGGTGTATGCTTCAAAACTTTAGGTAATTATGTTATAATGCCCTAAAGTTCTTCCACTGCTTTCAGAAGCATACAGGGGTAGTGTTGGAAATTACCTTGATAATTAATCTAGTCTGTTGCCCTCATTTCAGTTTTCTATCAACTGACTTTCTCTTTAGAGGCTGTATTAGTAACAACAGTATCTCCAGCTATTAATCCTCTAGGCAACTTCCCCCTTATTTTCTATATTTAGAAATTCAAAGCCAACTTCCAGGAAGCCCAGGATCAATGTAGTAAATGCTCACTGCCTCTACCTTTTCATACCCCTAGTTGAAAAACTCAACAGCTGGATCACAGAAGCATAAAGTGCTATATCCAGTATTCTCTAAAGCTATATGCTGAAAGGAAAACATCTGGGAGAATATTAACTGAGGTAACAAACTTACTCAACATAGTATGTCCCATACTGAGGGTCCTCTATTTTCTCCCAGCCATAAGGAAGCTCTGTAAATAAAGAAAATTGAGTGAAATGCCAGATTCAAAATTGACAGAAAATAATTCACCAGTGAGTGAATTTATTATTTAATTATACTAATATTTGGGAGTCAGAAAGCCGAGGGCTCACTTCCAAGGAACAAACACAATTTAAGTCTGAGTGGCTTTTTCCCCAGCCAGTGAGAATTTCAGCAAGCATTAGAAGCCCAGAACAGAAGATGGCATTAAACAAAAAGGTGTTTATATGAACCACAAGCCATAAAAATGCTAATACAAATTACTGTATATTTCTTTCATTTAAAAACCTTGATTATGCTGACATGAGACATACATACCCTGTAGTCCAACACAAGAAGCAGGTGCCTGTTCAGTTTTTTTACTATTATACATAGCCATTTTTGATGCTATGTTTGGACCCACTTCTCCTCAAAGGCAACCCTAGTCCTAGACTTTTGCCATTTCAAGTGAGCAATCTAGATTTGCTTAAAACCTACAAAAGTACCTCCTTTCTGTTGGTGAACAGGATCTGAGTATCTGAAGGAACACTAATCTAACTACCACAGTGCTTTGTGTAATCTGTATTTGTGAATAACAAACATCTTACATAGCATTTTTATATATTACTAAATCTCGGTAATTGAGCAATAAAATATAACCAGAAATACTGAAGGTAGCTGAATTTCTGGAAGTTAAAAAAAATCTCTAGCCTTTTCAACGTGAACTGACCTGAGCTTTTCAATGTGAATGTGAATCTTTTCCCTCCCACTTTGTCTGCATTCCTTGTAAAGTTAAGGTTCCTGAAGAACCATCTTATTAGGAAAACATGGATTAAGTTGGGAGGAATGTTCCTAGCAGGTGGTTCTAGTCCTATTCATTTTATATAGCAGTTGAGCAAAAAAGAATTTTTTTTTAAGTACACAGTTGTACACTATGATGTCCCATGCTTTCATTTTCAATTTCTCTTAAGAGTGCTTCTGCTATGCTGGAAGACGCACACACAAAAAGTACGCTGGACAGCAAACAGGTTTAGAAAGTATCACAAGACTTATTAGTTTTATAACATTTAGCCTCAGTTATGACATACCAACTTTGTAAGTAAAAATTCCATTATAATAAACTTGACAAGTGATACTGTTTTACTCTAAGAAAAATTATTGTTCTGCATTCAGAATATAAGAAAAGAACAGATGACTAGCCTCCTGGTGAAAACCTCCGAATTACCCCTACCCCATTTCTCCACCATTCTTTTCTGCATACATATTGATTGGTGGTTTCAAAGTTTGATGAGTTTTTGTGTTTTTCCTTTGAAGGACCTGGTTGAAATATCTGAGGTGGGAAAGATGAGAACAAATGAAATATTAAAATAGTTGAAATATGTGAGAAGAGAACAAAACATTAAAAAGAACTGAGATGTACTTTAGCTCACTTTAATCCTCCTCAGCTATGAAGCAAATCTATCAAATAGATATAATATTTTATCGTGAAACAACTGTTTCATGGATAAGAGTATTTTTTTTGGAATATATCTGTAAAACTGCACTATAACGGTTATGGATCTTCCATGAAAAATATTTTTTTTTCTTTAAAAGAAATTTTCTTGAAATAGCATGGGAACTGAATAGAGCTGAGTAACAATTAATTCTACAGATGTACCACAATTAGACCTACGTTTTGTCTTTAGAGAAGTTTGGAGAAATTAAGGTCTATAGAAATAGCTGAAATAGTCCATTTGATACCTGAAAAATTCACTAAAAGGGATGTATTAATAGTTAATAAGGATAAATGATCAACATAAATATATTTTAATGTTAACTTGAAATTCGTTAATTTAGCATTTTAGTTAAGACTCAAGGTAATTAGCAACTAAGATTAACAGTCCTTTCTTTAGGAGGGTAAACAAATGCAGCCATTTATCTTCTGGGTTATTTTATTAATTTTAAACCTTTACCACTGACACCATTAGCAAGTTGTTTTTTTTTTTTTTTGGTTTTTTTTTGCATGCAGGGAAAATCAATACAGATAAAGAAGTGGTTATTATTTGCTCATTTAAAATGAAGGTAATAAAAATCAAGACTAAAATACCTAGCAATTTTATACACTATTTAGTGGATCAATTCATTTATTCATTTTATTTCTTTTTTCCTTTCTCCCTTCTCATCCTTCTCTCCCCATCATCCTTATGCAGAAATAAAAATTATAACTATAACCCAGTTCTTGACTTCAAGGAGTTTACAGTCTAGACAGGAAGACAGAAGAGATAAATGATAAGATGAAGATAAACATCATCTTTTTTGGGGAGTACAGAGGAATGACACCAATTGCCTGGTAAGATTGCTATCAGGAAAGCCTTCTAAAAGGTGACGTTTAAGCAGTCTTTAAACATAAGTTGGCTCACACCTGTAATCCCAGCACTTTGGGAGGCTGAGGCAGGTGGATCACGAGGTCAAGAGATCAAGACCATCCAGGCCAACATGGTGAAACCCCATCTCTACTAAAAATACAAAAATTAGCTGGGTGTGGTGGTACACACCTGTAGTCCCAGCTACTCAGGAGGCTGAGGCCGGAGAATCACTTGAACCCAGGAGGCGGAGGTTGCAGTGAGCCAAGATCGTGCCACTGCACTCCAGCCTGGTGATAGAATGAGTCAAAAAAATAAATTAATTAATTAAAAAGTTGGGATTAGGGAGAGGGAGATGATTCCAGATAGATCAAAGGGCACTGAGGTATTAAGAATGCTTGGTATTTTCCAAAATTACAAATAATTTGGTAAACTAGAATGAAAGTTGTATGCAAAGAGAAATGAATTTTATGAACAAGCACCAAATTACAACATTCTTAGAGTGCTGTTTTGAGAAGTTTGATCTTTATTTTGATGATGGTGGAGAATTGATTAAGGTGAACTGTGACATAATTTAATTTATATTTGAAAAAGATTATGGGCAGTGGTAACAAAGGACGAAATAGATGGTGTGCAATGAGAATAAAGGCAGACAAGATAAACACTAATAGACTGCCTAAGAACTTGTGAAGACTGGAACTAAGGCAGGGATAGCAGAATGGATAATAAGACAAAGAAGGTAAAGTAATAGAACTTAATGACTATCATGAGGATTGAGGAAGGGAAGGGAGGAAAGAGGCAAAGATGATTCCCAGGTTTCTGGCTCTTGTAGCATGAAAGTGATACATTATCAAACATTTATTGAATAATTATGAAAATAGGACGGCGCAGTGACTCACACCTAAAATCCCAGCACTTTGGGAGGCCGATGTGGGTGAATCATTTGAGGTCAGGAGTTTTAGACCAGCCTGAGCAACATGGTGAAACCCCCATCTCTACTAAAAATATAAAAATTGGCTGGGCGTGGTGGTGGGTTCCTGTAATCTCAGCTACTCAGGAGACTGAGGCAGGAAAATTACTCGAACCTGGGAAGTGGAGGTTGCAGTGAGCTGAGATCTCATCACTGCACTCCAGCCTGGGCAACAGAGTGAGAGTCTGTCAAAAAAAAAAAAAAGAATAATTATGAAAATGGCTGTGGGAATAGAAATTAGGAATTAATGTGGATTCAGAGGAATTTACAAGACAGATGATATGTAAAAAGTGCCTAGTAATGTGTCTACCACCAATGGACACTCAAGAAATGGCAGGCTTTTATTTATTTATTTTTTTTTGAGATGGAGTCTTGCTCTGCCGCCAGGCTGGAGTGCAGTGGCGCGATCTAGGCTCACTGCAACCTCCGCCTCCCCAGTTCAAGTGATTCCCCTGCCTCAGTCTCCCGGGTACCTAGGACTACAGGCTCGTGGCACCACACCTGGCTAATTTTTTGTATTTTAGTAGAGACAGGATTTTACCATGTCGGCCAGGACAGTCTTGGTCTCCTGACCTTGTGATCTGCCCGAATGGCAGGTTTTTAAAAGTCAGAATTGATAGAACTTGGTAGTTAACTGCAACAAAGAGGAGTGAGGAAAGGGCGAGGATGACAACCAGTTTTTGGCTCAAGCAGCTGGCGGTATGTCATATCATCTGTTGAAGGCAGGAAGGGGAGGTGTTACATTTGAGTGATCTGTGGAACATCCTGGTAGAGATAAATAACAAGCTCTTGGCCATATGAACCTGGCACTCAAAAGAGAAATAAAAGAAGATAAAGATTTGAGAGACACTGTAGTAAAAGCTATGACAGCAGACATGATTACCTAGATAAACTGAGCAGAGAAAGGTGAAGAACAGAATCTTAGGCGCACTGACATTTTAAGGGGCAGATGGAGAAAGTAAGAATCATCAGGGGGAATGGTATAAAAGAAGACAGAAGAGGAAGGGCATGGTCAGCATTAAAAAATGCTTTGTAAAGCTGTTAGGCATAAAGATAAGGGCTAAAAAGAGTCTGTAAAAATCAGTAGCTTACTGGTAACCCTGAAAAGGTAAGAGGCAAAAGTCAGAATATTGTAGTAACTGGAGAGAAAAATAAGAGGTAGAGTCCTTAAGAATACATGACTTAAAACAAAAATTTGCTTGTGAAAAAGATAGTATAAAAACTATGGGGAGGGTTAGGGCCAAGAGAAAATGTGTTTATTTTTGATACAAGAAAGACCTAACCTAACCATCTTTTCCCGTGTGTGAAGCCAAAGTATTCCCCTAAAAAGCTATTTCAAAAGACAAAACTATTTTGGGCATATGAAGCAGCTGGTTGGTTCTAAATCCCATGAATTTATCTTTCTTTCCTCTTCCCAAAATAGGATTTTTCTTGTTTAAATGTAAGAATTACAATTGTTTTCTCATGGTGGAGCTCTATTCAGTTGATAATTTTTTTATCACTCTCTAAGCTCTGAAATATCAACATTCAAAACATTTGTAAGCTGCCTTTAGCAAAAATTTAACCTTTCTTTCATCATAAGAGAAATGGGATGGGTTGAGGGTAAAATGGATTCCTAATGTTGTATTTTCAAGACAACTACCTAACCAAAACACTATTTTATTTGAATAGAAGATAAAATGTACATCAATTAAACCAAGC